ACATATATTACTAGGGCAAGGTAGAATTTTTCCTTGTGTCTTATATGGCACCTTATGCAGTAATGCTAATTCTGAATGGTTGAAGTGAAAAATGTTTGCACTCCTAACATTGGAATCCTTTACCTTGACGTGAACAAAAAACAGAAAGAGGAAGAAAAGATCAAATTGTATTTACATTCTATTGATTAAATGGACTGAAATATAATAAGGATTATTGAGCAGCCTCCGGATATTGAGTCAAACAATGTGGATGCCCATTATACCAAAGACAGAACATAAATGGAGCAGACAGCTGATGTGATAGTGTGATGTGAATGGAAAATGTTTCACGAAAGCTAGCATAAGAACAAGGCTGCACCACAACTGAAAAAGACAGGTCTAGAATAAAAGTGAAGTTATTTGTATTTTGAAGGCAGAGAAGGATGTGAGAATCCAGAGAATGAGTAATGATCATGTGATCTTCAAACTTTGGCTACAAGTGGATCACCCAATTAGTGTTGAGGGACCATTTTTGACATTATTAATGGGCTAGTTGCATATTATAAATCAAATAACAATAATCGAGTTCTACACATGTGGTTAGTTGTACATGTGTAGGGGGTCTCCTCAGCTCCAGCCAATGCAATTGTGACTGAGAAGTACAATTTATTTACTGATGGAAGCAAAATAATTTTTTCTGTCTATATAAAGAACATTGTACTGTTACTAACCAGATCCATATCCATTTTCCCCCAAAAAACAATTAATTGATGGCTGACCAACTAAACAGTGGTTTAGTGCAGCGTTTGAACTCAAATAGCAAAATGTCCAGCACATAATAAAAATTCGAATTAGGAGTCATAGCAACAAGCAAAGTGCCCAATTTGGAGAGTTTATGAATGCAGGATAATAAAAGTAAATATTGGGCCAGTACTGATATTCTGCCAGATAATTCATTAGTGTGCTTCACAATACTGTATAAGATATGCACAAATAACTCTGAAAATTTGGGTAGAATGTTATTGCCATGGTAACCTTTTAATTCTTGAATCCATACATCGGGAAAATAGAAGTAAGCATATGCATGGACAAGTGCCAGGAAACCCAATAGAAGTTTTTTAGTAGGATTGTTGACTCATTTCCATTTCTGCTTCCATCACAATGCTCTGTTTCAGTTGGTAAACTGCAGAATGACACACATATATATATATCCTGTTTCCCATTATAATACAGCATTCAGGAGATTCACATTGAAGCTTGCAGGTTGGAGAAGAATGATGCATTGCCGAAGCTTCCAAAACTTGTTTATGGTTAAGAACACACTGGAGCCGATGGGATTATTCTAATCTGTCGTTCAATAGGGCAAATTCATTCATATTGGCTATGTGGCATTGTGTGTAGTTTGCTAGGATTAGTAAATGTATTGGTGTGCACTTACAAATGACTGTTATGCAATTTTTAACTATAAATAGCATTGCACTGTAAAATTAATAAATAGATAAAATTGCATGAGTTTTTTTTCCTTAATGAACAGCAGCAAAGTTAATAACCTAGCAAATGAAGCAGAATCACAATTAGGCCACATCAATGAACTTCCTACGTAGAGCAAACAGAGGAGATACCATACATATATTGTGATAAAACAGGTTGTCATGGCTGATGTGGAGGTGATTAACATTTGTCTGAAATTTTGTTGTTGTTGTTGTAGTTGAAACTGGCTCAGGCTGGGGCTGGGTGGGGATTACATTTTCTTAATCTCTTATCGCCTATACAAGTTCCAGGTTACATAGATCTGAAAACTGGTTTCTTTCTATTTTTAGCTTAGAAATGTAAGACTGACATGTCAAGAAATCATCAAGATTGAAATGAGTAAGAGACAAGATAAATAAATTAGTAAACTAGCCTCGTTGTCTGGAAACCTTCAGAGACAGAGTCAAAAGTAAGACCAAATCCAATTCAATTTTATTATTATTATTATAATCTCTGCGACAAGAATCTCTCCATTGTAAAGATTGTTTCCTGTCTTTTGTCCTGATATGGCTACCCTTAAGCATTATTTATCTGAAACACTTTGGCATTTTATATCAATTGATCCAGATCTTATTCAATGCAATCCATCCTACTTGTATTATTCATCCTAGAATTAGCATGATATCAACCACAAATTTTATATTACAAGTTCTGCTCTCCATCAAACTATTTGTAGACAGTGAGACCAGCATGGATTCCAATACAAACTAATGTGAAATCTCACTAATCACTGCTCTTAGACTGGTGTTTGTCAATTTCACAACATCTTCTGCTCCCTATTACTAAATCAGTTTTCAATCCAATAAAATACTTGGATAATCTGTGTGTTTCTCAGATGAAGTACACTGTGTTTTTTGATCCAGTATTTATATTTCCTTGTTCTGTATACCTTTGACTGAATACACTAGGAATATTTATGTGCAGGAACACCCAAATATATTGTTTTAATAAGATGGATAGATCTTAAGACAAATGCTGTTGTGCACCAATTAATTTGCATTGCAATATCCATAATAATCCATAAATCAAAATGTTTCTTAACATTTATCTGTATACCATAAATCAAGAAATACTCAGTCAAGTAACATTTTTATTTGGTCATCCAAAGAACTTTACCACTGGTTTAGAGATTTCTTCTAAAGTTCCTTGTGTTCCATGTGCTTTGAACTGAGATTCCAGGTACATTTAGCTCTCTTCCTTAGTGAGAAGGTAAATCACAATTGTGATTTATATTTATTAACACTTGACACCACTCTCTAGCCATCTGAGCTTGGGGTGGGAGCTGAAGAAAGTGGGGAGGGGAGAAATGATTGGAAACTTGTGCAAAGAGGTGTAAGAGATTCGGATGGAGACGGCCAATACGGTGGTGTAATAATCCAAGGTTTATTAAGTAATGCAAATAGCTTAACTTATTCTTAAAACCTATTTTTAACTTATTCTTAAAAGCATAGATACAGTAGAATTGATATTGATTCCACTGGGAAGTGCACTGACCCTCTACGACAATTCCAACTATTTCAAAGTTACATCTTTCTTTTATGTGTTTCTAACTCTGCCTCCCCTCGTCACAGAGATAGACCCCATTCTCCGCAGGCTGCTTTGCACAGGGAGAAATATGGCCAACTTCTGGGCAGCCTCCCACAGTCTGCTTGTTTCTCAGCCTCGATGTAGGCAGGTGTCTGAGGCTGGTTTCTCAGCCTCGATGTAGGCAGGTGTCTGAGGCTGCAGCCTTTCCTTTCTGTGGCCCATTGTTCTTACATCTGTGCTCAAGGACCCGATTGCTCATTATCTCAGAGAAGTGAACATCTTCCCAGGAAATGTAATCAGAAGCTAATCTCGACCCATCCAGCAAAGCTACTTTTAACCACTGCTAAGCTAGTTATTCATCAAACAAACCTTATTAAAGGATTATGGGTAGGTTACATTCTAAACATATATAAAGATTAATTAAAAGCCTTAAAAAACATTAGACATCACAAATATACCTTATGGTGGAACATCTTGAGATGTATCATCAAAATACTTCCAAATAATTCAAATCGAAAACCAAAGTCTTAAAACAACTGCTAGGATGAAGCATATTGTGGATAAACTTCACACTTCATGTCTTTTACATTTTGAAATAGGAATTGGGGTATGTTTATTAGGCAATTATTACACTAGTCTTGGTATAGTAAGACTGGACACTTTCTGCTACTAATTAGATGCAGTGCAATAAACAGTGATGAAGATGACTTTTACAGGAATCACATAAACAGTAAGTTTTTTTTACAGATAGTCAATCTTTGTAACGGATTCAGGACACAGATTTCCACATAAGCATGAGTCACTACTCCCTTCATCATTAATTATAGTTTCTTCTTGTCTTCTCTGCTCTGATAAAAAAAACCATGCTACTGATACATTATAGGCCTGAAATTTCACCTAGCCTTAGCCTTTAAGGCCATTTTATCTTGGAATTTAAGATGAGTTAGAATTGTGGAAAATTGTTCAATTCACTCACAATTTGAAATATGTTCCTCGGAAATTAAGACCGATATGAAGAATCTAGCATAATGCTGAGCAATCTTAAAATTTTATTATACATTCAGTGTATCCAATTCCCCCCCATCCAATTTTCTCTCCACTGACAAATGCAACTGCTCCTGGTCTGACCTTCTTTTGCTTGAATGCTGTTCCACAGATATTGGTTGCCCTTTGCTACCCCATGCAAATGATCATTACAACACATAACAAACTTACATTCATACCGTGACTTTTACATTGGGAGGATTGACACCACTGACTGAATACTTGAGCTGAGGGTGGGAGCTGAGTGGGATGAGGAGGGGAAAGATGACCAAAAGTATGATCAATTAGATATATCTTGAATGAGGTGAGGGAGGAGCCTGTGAGACCATTCAGTCTTAAAATATATGATCAGACAGCCTAATTGGTGTAGTGGACAGAACTGCAGCTTGCATTACTTGTGTGTGAGGCTTGGCAATGAATGTCAGCAGACCACTCAATTGTAAAGGACATTTTAGTTGGCCTTACACAGCTACCACAACACAACCAGTAGGGGTCAGGAAACTGTCCTAGTTCCCCTTCCTAACCCTGGGAAGGCCACGCTCAATTTAGCCACCGATTGCCCAGGATACTGAAATGGATTCAAACCAGCAAACTTGTGATCAGCAAGGTGCACTTTTATCTATTTCACCACTGGGGATTCTTGATTTTACATTCTAAGACCAAATAGTCTCATAGACTAAAACTAGGTAGAATTTCAGGCTCGATGTTGTTCTGGCAACAAGTATGCCAAACCTTAATAATCTTCTTATACATAGAGTGGTTGAATAATAGTTGTTTGCAAATGGATTGATTAATAGTGTCTCATAATTCTTATGGAGACATGGCAGATTCACAGGAACACCACCAACTACCTCCATTGCTTTGGAGCAGTGATGCCATGAGCCATAATATACTACTAGTTACCATCATAATGCTCCATTAGCGACTTTGAGTCACTACTAATGAATCTCATTGTGAGCCACTACTTTTTCAACTCCCATTTTCACCATCTTCAGGTATGGTAAGCAGAAGATTTTCTTTCAAGCCATCAAAGGCTGCAGAAACAGGCCTGCAGTTCCTAGGATACAAACCAGCACAAATACCCACAGGAATATCCTGTCAATTACCATGGCTACGTACTTCCAGTCATCTTCCACCTGTAAAGCATAAACAGAGCATAGTGTTACCAATGTGAAAGCCAAGGATCTGTATTTGCATTCTTTATTGCTTGTTTCTATTTGCACTGCTGCTCAAGAGTTCTGCTCAATCTGAATCCCTAAATCCCTTTGTTTCTCTATCTCTTTTAACCACACTCGGCTATTGCCAGCTTCTTTATTCTTTGTACTGAAGTGAATAATTTCCCATTGCTCTGTATTAAACTTCATCTGCTCTATCTGCCCAGTACAATCCTGCTTAATTTTTCATTTTAAACACAGGTACTTAATATCACTGCGTGTTTAGCTTCTGAAGGAGGCTTGCTTGTGGTTTGGAATATGCAGTAAATGGCTTGGAGCAAGAAAGTCGTGCAGAAACAAATACCGAACTCAAAGCAAAGACATTATAATTCAGTGATTACTTTTGTGTGTGTGTACCAAGAAAAGCAATTCCTCTATTGTTGTTAAATGTAATCAGTGTAAGCTTGTAACTTTCCCATTAATAGTTTGTGCAGTTCCGCCAAGTAACTTTACCAACCAGAAGAAAATCGTAAGGTCTCATCCCTACCATCAAGCTGCTTTTTAAATTGATCTTCCCTGATAACTTGTTCCAGTTGTTAATTAATAATAATAAAATCCTTGCATTTGATATAGCGCCTTATCACATCATTGAGACATCTCAAAGGGCTTTACAGTGTGTAAAGTGTGTAAATATATTGTAAAGACTGTAGTTTACTCTCTGCGTGAAGAAAAACTTCTTGGTATGTCTCTTGGCACTGCCTTTCACAATCTAAACCTATGTCCACTTGCTATAATCCTAAAATATTGATTTGAATCAGAGATTTTTGGTAATCAAAGATTGACTCTCACAATACTAAAAGCAACATTGGATGTGACATCAGTCACATCTGCTGAGTGCTTGTATCACATGGTGCTGCTTAATGATGACACGACAGACATGAAACAAACCAGCTACAGCCAGTGGTCTTTATAAGAACATAAATGCTATAAATAATACTGAACAGCTGTCACTGAGTTGAAGGGGTAAATTAAAGACCATAAAGTACAAGAGGTTTCCTCTCACTGTTTATGGCATGACCTTAATCCCTCAGTGGGATTTTAATTTACCACTGATAAACATCCAGCATCTTCTGTGTATCATACAACCAGAATTTCACCAAACATTTGAATTTTTCAGAACCAGGAATTAAGACAGAATAAAATTACTTGCACTGATCCATTTACATTGCTGTGATTAACTGCAAGGACCACTGCCGCATAATGTTCCTGTTTAACAGTTGCTTTCTCATTTGCTGTTCTGCATGCCCAACTCTAACACACTGAAATCCGAGTGGAATAAAACGAGCACTCAAAAATAGTTTACTGAATCTTGACAGAAGGAATGCAGATTGGGAATTCTCCCTGCTATATGTTACACAGGGTGAAAAATACAACCTTCAATGTGATTGAATGTCATGTCACCTGTGCCAAATATCATAATTTTCATCCTTTTATTCCCAGTCAACAAGTGAATAGAATTTATATGCAGCACCCTGACTGTGTTCAATCAAACTTAATTATAAACTTGGTAAGAAACAGCTTGAAAGGGTTATCAGGAAGGACGGTATGCTGAACTTGTTTAAGAAACAGCATGATGCTGTAATGGAAAGACAGTAGGTGGGTGTTTGGAAGTATGAGACCAAATGGGCCAAAAGACCTTCTTCATCTGTACCATTCTTGTGAACAGAAAGTAAAGCAGGGTAATGTAATGAGAATAACCAGTTTTTTCAGTGCAATGAGAAAATATGTTTTTTTGTTACTAGAATTATCTCCTTCTCAAGATGCTTAGTCATTTCATCCTTCATTATAGACTGCAATACATTATCTATCACAGATGGTAATATAACTGGTTGTTGTTTTTTTAATTATCTCTATCTCATTTTTAGAAAGATGTTATTCTAATTGAATGGAATAGATCATTCGGGAGACGATATTTGGAATTAATATGTTTTGGCAGCCTTCCTCCGAAAGGACATTTTATTACTGGGGGGATTTCAGAGAAGAATAACAAGGTTAATTTCAGGACTGAAAGCTCTAAATTATGAGACAAAAGTTTTTAAAATTATGAGAGGCAAAGATGAGCAGGTCAGACTGCTACACCATGCTGCACGTTCCATTCCAATACATGGGAAATTCCATGCATATGTGGGTTTGGTTTGGATATTCTTAAGTACTGTGATGGGTTTCTGCAAGTGTCAGACATCCGTCTGACTAAAAGAAAATCAAGGGGGAATTAAAGGTTAGAATTGTTTCCATGGAATAGTGGATATATAAAACAGACTGTCCCAAAAAAGCATGGTACAAAAAAATAAAACTTTTTAAGTATCTGCTTGATGTTATTGGGTTATTATTAGAGTATTAGTAGCAACCAAAAATGGAATAGATTGCAATGTACTATAATATTCTTAGAATATTCCACCTTTGTGAAAGATATACTCCTAAACCGTGCCTTTCTGTAGTTACCAGATGTAAAGGGATCACTCAGCTAATATTTGCTCAGTTGTTAATAGATCACAATCTGTAATAATATTAGACATGTAAAACAACACTGGGGACAAATATTACAAAGATTTGATTTCACTTGCACCATTTTCAAGTGACGTGTTACATTTCTACATACAACAAATCACACAATATAAATTGAAATGTACATTTGTGTTGTGTACATGACAAACGAGTCACACAGGTTTCCGAAGTGCAAGACTCGCAACCTGGGTTTAGCAAAAGATTTTGTAGATATTAAAATTCTGCCAGTCACCAGATGTGTGTCACGCTGCTCAAAAGTTATTTACTTCCAGCTGAACGGAATGGAATTCTCATAGGTCAGTGTGACACATGTTTGATTACTGGCAGAATTTAGTATTTAAGAATCCGGGTTCTGCAATTTAGACTCCATCGTCTATGTTAATCCTACAAATTGTGGATCCAAACACATTCCATTGTAATTGATACCAAAGCACTCAAGCGTCACTAAATGTCACTGTTGAGATTATTGAGACAAAGGAATATTTTGAGCAGCAATTAGACAAGCTAGGGCTCTTCACTCCTGAGAGACAACAACTCAGAGGGGACCTCATCGAGGTGTACTAAATTTGAAATGGAATTGAAAAAGTAAACCCAAATTAAATCTTTAGGATGTATCAAGACATTTGAACAATGGGCATAAGTTTATGGTTGTAAAGGGCTACTGCCGGACAGATACCATGAAGTTTTTCTTTACACATAGGATAATCACCCACTGTAACAGGTTGCCAGAAAAGGTGACAGAGGCTACGAAATTTAACTCATATAAAAAGCAGCTTGATACTATGATGGGGAAAGGTGGTAGAATGGATGTTCTATAGGGATGTGATTGAATGGGCCAAAAGGCCTTCTTCATCTAAACCAATGTTATGACCCCAGTTATATTTGTTTGCTACCACCACAAACAGAAGCAAACCACAAATGAAAGGGCACTTAAAGGCAAGAAGATGCCAAGCTTTGCCTCCTATCAAAGCAATTTGGGAGCAGGGAAACTATCACACTGGTGTTAATTATCACATCCCAGAGCAACGAGGAGGTAAAAAGAGAATTTAGGAAGAACTAATTCACACAGAGGGTAGTGAGATTGTGGAACTCATTGCCTGAAGCAGTGGTTCAATAAGAGAATAGATTCATTCAAGAGAAAGGTAGACCTCCACATGAGGGAGAGGGCAATAGAAAGGAAAGAGTAAAGGAATGGCTGGAGACTCATATGGAGCATAAACAACAGCATGGACTGGTTGGGCTGAGTGGCCTGTTTCTGTGCTGTATATTCTTTGTAATTCTTTGTAAATAGTCTACATTCCCCATCTTCTATGTTATAATTCAATATGAAAGAAAAAAACATATTGGAGTCTAAGATTCAATATTTACAAAGTGGATTTGCATAGGATTCATCAATTTGTTTTGATAGTATATGAGGGAAGCTTGGGGCATATGGCATGATTATATCACCTGCTATAATTGCAAAGCATTGGATATAGAGATGGTAAAAATCCACAGGGCTGAGTGTCTGAGACTTTCTTGCCTGCCTCTGTAAAGGTGTTTCTCCTCAATGGACAACATAGACCTTCTCCAGACACAGGAAGGAATGAGTACCAACAAAATAGCTGCTACTTGTGACTTTAATTCTATGATTAGTTTACAAATAAGCTCTAAATGGCCATATGATTATTTCATTCCCCATGTTATGGGATGCTGTTACCCTTATGCACATGTTTGTTTCATGGCATGTACCTGCACAGAACTGAGCAGGGAGGAAAATAATGTCAGCGGAGGGCAGGAAACAGTACCCAAATTGCCTCGTAGCTAGGTGTTGCTCTCTTTCAAAAGATACAGTGTAAAGCATAATTTGTGCAAATTAACTGCTGCTTTTGCCTAAAAATATAGTCACTTCACTGGATAGTAAAATCCTGTGAAGCTCTTTGGGACAACAAATTTATATTGAACCTTTCATGTCGGAAAGACAAGGCGTCCTCCTAACAAGAAATATGCAATATCAAATGTAAGGATTATTGATATTATTATTACAAATATAAAATAAAACACTTTAGAGTGCAGTAGTGTCTCCGATAATTACCTGTGAAATGCTGTATAACAGGTTCAACATTGTAGGAGCTATATCAGATTCAGGGATTATTTTACTGTTAATGACGTCACCACTCATGGGCCAATGTCACATTTTCAACATAATGACGCCTGCTTGGGAGACACATGAAAAAAAAGGCAGGCAGGAATGTAGCAAGGTAAATGAAGCAGCAGTAAAGAAAATGCTCCCCGATTGTCAGTTCCTTTACTCATTCGTTGCTCTTCTTGTTGCCACAGGCACGTTAAGCCCAGCATAAAATTGCATGAAACAAGCTTATGTCTTTGCAGTTTCAAAGTAGATTTTGCTGCAATTGAAATTATCCTGCGATATAAACAAGGCTGTTCTGTCCCACTGGGACTGGCAGGGGAATTGCTCCAGGAAATAGTTCTTCTACATAAATACATTATGAGATTTTGTAATTGCATTTGCAATTAAGTGGATATTTATGAAGAAAATGAAGGATATCTGGAAAGGTTTTACATAGCTATAATTTAATTCAGCAATTGAGATGACGGCATAAAGCATTGGGAGCAGAGTTCCATTATTATTATTATTATATAAATGGAAATGTGAATTCAATAACAGCCTTTTACTCGTCCTGTCTTTTTTGTATTATTTTAGATGAGGTTGTTATCCGAGATATAATTTGTAAAATCAAGGGCAAGTAGTGGGCAAAGGAAACAAATGCCCTTCCATGATCCATTTAATGCACTAAAAATACACATCGGTATTATTTTAACAAACGTCATTCTTTTTTTAAATAAGTCCTGAAGAATTTTTTATATTTTGTCCTTTTTCCTTTGTTTTCTTTAATCTAGATGAGGGATCACCTCCTTATTTTGCTTTTTATTTTAGGTGAATAAATGATTATAATAATAATAATTGTTACAGTTGATGAACCAACTTTCACGTCAAGAGGACATCTCAAATGCTTCACAAGATTCACTGTAAGATGGAGTGATTATGTGCCTTGTGGATAAATAGATCAGTTCATTTGTTGAGGAAATTAAACCATGTGGTTACCCCCAACGGTCTTTCTCCACTCAAAATATTGGGAGCACAAGTGCAAAGGACACAATATACTGATCCCTCAATATTCAATAATATATGCTGGCCTGTGTGGTTTCATACCTGCCACCATTTAAAATGGCATCAATTGCTACAACTAGAGCTGGAGTCGTATTGATTGAGCTGTTTCTCTTACATGCGGTATTTGATGTATGTCAGGGTAGAATAATACTTTCACGTGATCAACAAGAAGACATAAGCAAAATATTACTTTACATGAAAAAAGCAAAATACCAGAACTGTTGAGATCTTAGCCGATTAGACCTTGGTTCCTGACCGTTAAGCATTGAGAAGCAGTTAAAATTCCTACCTCTTTGGCTTCATTCTGGCTCTTCATGTTCTCTGCAATGTATTTGACACAATCTATTGCCTGATGGACCTCAGGAGAAAGGACTGAGAAAGCGAACAGAGCATTAAGTGACTGCGGGCTAACTTGTCTGCTCAGGCTACAGGGAACTGACTCACAGGACTCTTTCGGATGCCGACAAGAGCATATTGGCTGCTCTTTGGGTATCTTGAAGTCACCATATTCAAGGTAGTTGGTGGTATCCGTTTTGGGGCAGTTGGCTTTTCTTCGTGCACCTCTGCTTTTCTCTGGTTGCTTTTCGCCCAAGGGCCTTCTCATCAGCATGACTCTTGGGAGGAAGTGAAGGAAGATCTTTCGAACCCACCCAGGCATGGTGTGAGTGGTTGGAGTTCGGTAGTGGACATTCAAGACAAAGACTGTTATAACAATAGAGAGGGTCACAAAGATCATTGTAAATAAGAGGTACTCGCCAATCAGTGGGATTACCAGAGAGGTGGAGGGGATTGTTTCAGTGATCACCAGCAGAAAGACGGTCAAGGAGAGCAGGACAGATATACACAAAGTAACTTTCTCTCCACAGTCAGAAGGCAGGTAAAAGACCAAAACAGTCAGAAAGGAGATCAACAAGCAGGGAATGATCAGGTTGACACTGTAAAACAAGGGCAGTCTCCGTATGTAGAATGAATATGTGATATCTGTATAGATTTCTTCACAGCAATTGTACTTAATGTCATGTTTATATCCTGGAGCATCTATGATCTCCCACTCACCACTTTCCCAAAAGTCTTTCAGGTTGACTTTGGATCCTATGATAATCAGGTCAATCTTGGCTTTATCATAGGACCATGATCCAAACTTCATTGAACAGTTCTGATAGTCAAATGGAAAATATGTGATGTCCATTGGGCAGGAACTTTTAAAGATTGCAGGAGGGATCCAGGTAACAGTGCCATCATACTTGAGTAATGCCTTGGTTTTGTCTTCCACTTGAAAATCTCCCACAGCACTAGAAACAACGAGGAGGAACAATGGACAATATAAAAGATGGCATGAAATTGCCATTAAATATTTGCATTTGATTGGAGAGATACAATTTACATTTATATAGCGTCCTCCTCATCACAAGAATATCACAAAGGGCTTCACAGGGCACCCGAGTTGGGTGTGAGAGCTGAAGAAACCCAAGTTCCTAAGAGGAAACTAAGGTGTATCTAGCATTCAGCAACTCACTTGTTGTACAGCACAATATCTGGCTTCCATATCTTGTCTGATGGGACTCTGATTTGTTCGATGCCGTCAAAGTCAACTGGATTCCATCGCAGCTTATAATCGTTCCAGATCTTTTCGAAATAATCCATTCCCAGGAAAAACAATCATTTGAAAAATTAGATACATTGCTCAATCGTTAATACGACAACACTATTTATTAGGCACTGCTCACACCCTGGCTTTAAGTACTGACTGGGGCTTTTGTAATCCTCGATTTGTGTAACCAGACATCCTGCAAACTAATTGGATTCATAAGAAATGTTTAAATTAAGTACCAGGCTGCCTGTTCAGGTGGACATTAAAGATCCCATGATATGACTTGAAAAGAGTAGGCAGTTTCTCTCAATGTCTGGCCAACAATCCCCCAAATAAAATTGGTCAATTGTGGCTGTTTGTGGGAGATTACTGTGCAAACATTGGCTGCCACTTTTGCCTCAAAAGCACATAGTCGCTACACTAAAGTATAATGCTGTGAATTATTCTCCTGACATGAAGTTGATTATATCAAATGCAGGGATTATTGTTATTGGTATTATTATAAATTCAAATTAAATCATTTTCAAGGGCAGCGCAGTCAGTAGTATATAGCATCATGCTTCACCATGCTCCGCCACTGCTAAGCACTCTGGGACCCTACATGAGGAGCTCTATATGAATGCAAGTTGTTGTTGTTGTATCTACTTTTAAATCCATACTAATAAGAGGAGTCCTGTAGCTCAGTGGTTAGAGCACTCGCTTTGCAAGTGAGAGACCTGAGGTCAATTCCAGGCAGAGGGCGAAACCTTGGGCAAGTTTCCTTACTCCACACACCTAATAATAATCCCTCCAAAAACCAAAAACAATAATAAATTGGTTATTTTCAATCTACGACTGTTTGTGGGACATTGCTGTGCGCAATTGGCTGCCGCGTTCGCCCACAAATATAAGGTCAATTCACTTTACAGTTTGTTCTGTGAAGCGCTTTGGGGCGTCCTCCTGATGTGAAAAGCGCTATATCAAATGCAAGGATTATTATTATTTATTTATTAATAATGTATAAGAATGTCATAAATGCTAAAAATAATGGCCCAGGAAGAAAAGAGACAGATGCTTTTAGTGTATCTCAAGGACAGATATTTGTTGTTCGAAACAGTGAATATATTACTGGCTTCTGGACAGTAAATGGCACAGATTCAACAATAGGTGAGAGGTGTAAGCCTTCTAATTTACTAATTTTCTATATGCTAACATTACTACATGGCTTGAGAAATAGCAGGTGGTGGATAAATCCAACATGCTCTAAGATACTTTTCCACAAATTTTGTGAATTCTTACACTGACTAAGATTGAGAGGGGAGGGAGGATTATGAATACAATATTCTTTGGGGTTATATAAAGAAAGCTGTTTATCAAATTCCAGCTTAATCCTGTACTTTATCCTCAGGGACACACACCTCTCTCCTCCCGCCAAGCACTGTTTAACTCTCCTCTAGCTTCAAAAATTGGATCCAGTGATCACAGCACAGCTTGTAAGATGAGTGAAACATTTTCTTGTTGCAGCTAACAGGTGTGTAAATAATTAAAAACATCTTGGAAGCACCTCACAAGTCGTTCTCCTGTTTCACTGCACTTATTTTCTTCACCAGATCCTTTTATCTCTGAACTATCCTTTGCAGTTCCTTACCAAAACTTTTTTTTCACAACCCGCAAAAAACAGTTGTACAAATATTGACACAATATCTTTGTTCTATGTTGGAAAGCTATGGAAATACAAGGAATCGCACAGTATTCTTGAACACTGTAAATAACATGTTTTTTTACACTGTAAATTATTATTTGAATAACAACACTATTCCTAACAGAGATCATTAGGATGTTGCTAATGGGATATTGCTCCCTGGTAGGTATAATAAAATAATAATAATAATAGAATAATAATTTGGTTATCCCACAAAAGACACAGTCACTTCAGTGTACAGTATATTCTGTGAAGCGTTTTGAGACATCTGACGATTATATCAAATGCAAGGTTTATTATAATTATTATTATTATCGTTAGGATGTTGCTAATGGGATATTATTCCCAGGTAGACAACTGGCAGGGTTAAAAGCTATGCTCCACCCCACCTCCCTCAGTCAGTATAACTGGTAAGACAACATGAAGTCATGCTTGATCTGATCTTCCAGTTGTTGACCATGTTGCGTAATCTCACACCATTTATTCCTCCCCAACACCATCACCACCACCTCCACCACCCAGAAGATAAAGCCCACCACTTGATTATGCGCACAGTCGTATGCGCCGAAACTTACATGTCGCAGCCAAAGATTGGTTTCCAGTATCTGATTGACTTCATCCTGTGAGAAAAAGTCACAGGTAGCAATGATGGAGAAATTACTCAATCACTAAATAAAAAAAAGTCAGAGGGAGGGATGGAGAGGAGAGGGGGGGAAGGAGGCAAGAGAGAGAGAGAGAGGAGAGAAAGAGAGGAGAGAAAGAGGAGAGGTGGGAGTGTTCTTACCACTTTCACTAGTTGGGACATGGAGACTTCGAACTGGACCATAACAGGATTAGACACATTCTCCACTGGTCTGATGTACTTGGTGAAGCGGCTGAACATTATCTTGAACAGGCGATCCTCTCCTTTGGAGGAGTAGCAGCCTGGAAAGCAATGAGATCCCAGCTCAGCTCAGCTCAGCTCAGCACAGCACAGACCAGACCAGACCAGACCAGACAGGGATGGACAGGAGGCAACTTCTCACTCACTCACTCACACACACACACACACACACACAGAGCCTCTCGAATTTGCAAACGTGCAAATAATCTCAAATCAGGAAACATTTGGTATTTTCTTTACAAAGAAAGCACGTTAATATGTATATATATATATATATTATATACGTATATATATATATATTTGCTGCGAGCAGTCAGCAATGACAGCAAAGTCTGTCCAGTTCTGGTCTCTGACTGATCATTTTTTTTTGCAAACCCAAATGAAACAAATCACAAATCGTGCTTTTCCTCCCCAAAACACACACACACACACACACACACACACACAGTATCTTACCATGCATTACTAAAGTCAACACCATAAACACCAAACGCAAGGATGTCCTGGTAATTGTCATCTGCTCCCCTGTGTGTGTGCGGAAGCCGCTGATCAGATGCTGCTGGAAGTTGCGGAAGGTGCTGCGGATCGCAAGGTAGGTCTGCCCGGGCTTTGCTGGGCTGGGCTGGGCTTTGCTGGGCTGGGCTGGGCTTGGCTGGGCTGGGCTGGCAGAGAGCTTCACACACTGGACCAGCGAGGAAATAAGATGCTCAGGCTGCCCACTCTCCCTCCCTCCCTCCCTCCCTCTCTCAACGATGCGCCTCACACTCAGCCTCCATCACTTGCTGTCTGTCAATCACCAGCCTGCGATCCTCCCTCCCCATCTCCACCACAACCAGACCACAGGCTGAAGACAGGGAGCCCCCCCAGGCAACCACTGCACGTTGCATCTTGCATCCACACAGATATAATAGTAATAATAATAATAATAATAATAACGACAATACCAATAAGAATCCTTGCATTTGATGTAGCAGCTTATCACGTCGTTGAGATGTCTCAAAGCGCCTCACAGTGGAGGGGCCGAAACGCAGCAGTCCATTGCGCACAGCGGTGTCCCACCAACAGTCGTGCAATAGAGTGGCCCAAATATTATTTATTGATTTCTTTTGAAGGGAGGTAGACAAGTCACAAACGCACACGCACGGAACACGACCGACATTTCCTGAGCGGTTTCTGGTTAATCTGGTTGCTCAATCCATGGCTGCTTGCGGGACACTGCTGTATGCAATTGGCTGTCGCATTTCGCCCACAAAATACACAGTCAGAATACACATTTAACAGTATATTCCGTGAAGCGCTTTTGAGACATCTCAACGATGCAATAAGGCGCTATATCAAATGCAAATGATTATTACTTTCAAAACACACCTGTCAAACTCTGGTTGTGCCATTTATAACAATACTTACCGGGATGTGCTATAAATTCTAGTGGCTGTGCATTTTATTGGCGCACGCAGCACCAAGTACCAATTTTATTTTATTTGTGGGATTGTTGGTCAGGAAGCCGACAGAAACATCTCATTCAAAGAAATTCAACAATGCGTCACCCCCCACCACCACCCCCCAGCCTTGACTGTGAGTACAAAGTCCTGACGTAGGGTTCAAACACACAACCTACTAGGTTTAAGACCCACAACGCAGTAGGGTGCGAGTGCAACCAACTTAACAGCAATAACAAAGTACAATTGTAAAGCGCTTTTCACGTCAGGAGGACAAACCAAGCTGACCCACAATTTAAGATTTAGCCAAAGAAAGGTCCAGATCAAGGATATTTAAATTGGCTCAGTTAGTAGCACTTTGGTCCCTGAGTCAGAAAGTTGTGGTTCAAACCCCACTTTGGGACTTTGATCTTATAGTCTAGACTGATGCCTCAATGCAACTGCTTGGGGCGTCCTCCTGACATGAAAGGTCCTTTACAAATGTAATCTTGTTGTTGTTGTTGCTTGTTGAGGTGGATGTTAAAAATCCCATGGCACTATTTGAAAAGAGAAGGGAGTTTCTCCCAATGTTCTGACCAACAATCTCCCAAAATAAAACTGATCATTCAATTTATGACTGTGTGTGGGACATTGCACTGTACAAATTGGCTGCTGTATTCACCTACAAACTACATAGTCACTACATTTTACATTAAATCCTGTGAAGTGCTTTGAGAAGTACTCTTGATTCAAAAATGTCTGAGCATAAAGATTATTAAAGTCCAAGTGATCTTTGCAATGGTGTCATTTTACAGAAGTGGTGATTTAAAACATGACAAAGTTCACCTCAGTACATAGGAACAGGAGTAGACCATTCAGCCCTTCAAGCCTGTTCCGCCATTTAATTAGATCATGGCTGATCTGGAGTCCTGTAGCTCAGTGGGTTAAGAGCACTCGCCTCACAAGCCAGAGACCTGGGTTCGATTCCCAGCAGGGCGAAACTTTGGGCAAGTTTCCTTACTCCACACACCTGATAATTCCCTCAAGAAAAAATAAACAATAATAATTTGGTCACTCAATCCACGACTGTTTGTGGGACACTGCTATGTGCAATAGGCGTTTTGCCCACAAATGTACAGTCAATTCACTTTACAGTATATTCTGTGAAGCACTTTGAGATGTCTAGAAGACATGAAAACCGCTATATCAAATGCAAAGATTATTACTATTTTATTATTATTATTATCTGTACCTCAATTAATCCTTTCACCAATTTCCTGCTTTCTCCCCATATCCCATAATACCCTGACCTACCAAAAATGTATCAACCTCACTCTTGAAGGTGTGGATGGATCCAGCATGCACGGCCTTTTGGGGGAGAGAATTCCAGATTTCTACCACCCTTTGAGTGAGAAAATGCTTCCTGATTTCACTCTTAAATGACCTGGTTCTAATATTAAGACTATGCCCCTTGTTTTGGATTTCCCCACTAGAGGAAATAGCTTCTCTGTATAGACCCTATCAAATCCTTTCATCATCTTAAATACCTCAATCAAATCACCCATCAACCTTCTAAACTCAAGGGAATACCATCCAAGTTTACGCAGCCTTTCCTCGTAACTTAACTCTTTTAGGCCTGGTAACAGTCTGGTGAATCTGTGCTGCACCCCCTCCAGGGCCAATATATCTTTCCTGGGGTGTGGTGGAACTCTGGAACTCCCTTCCTCACTCCCTTTGCCTCGCCCCCTCCCTACCCACTTTCAGGTCTCAGCTGAAGACCTTTCTTTTCGACCGCGCCTTTGGTCACCTTCCTCCCGCTCCTCCTGGCTCGGTCCCGGGATCTGTTATTGTGAAGAGCTCTGAGACGTCGTCCGGCGTGGAGGGCGCTATATAAATCCAAGTTGTTGTTGTTGGTGGTGGTGTTGCCCAAAACTGAACGCAGTCTCCGGATGGGGTCTGACTAACGCTCTCTACGGCTGAAGCATCATTTCTTCCCCTTTGTATTCCAGACCTCTTAAGATAAAAGCCAACATTCCATTCACCTTTTTGATTACTTTTTGCACCCGGGAACTAGTTTTCAGTGATTTGATATGCGGATGGTTTCTAGGATTCGTTATAAGCTATTTACAATCAGATATAGAAATTACACCACTTACTACACCTATCACAACTGGGCATTTTCCCGTCTTAACTCAATTAACTGTTAATGTAGCTTCTTAAATGTACCAATTAGCATTTAAAAGCATTAGCTTCATAGAAATTACAGATGAAGAGGAAACCATTCAATTGGTGCTAATTCATCCATCATAGGTAATTACGCTAACCTCAATTGCCAGTACACTTAATGTTTTTCCTCCTTTACGGTCACTGACCTAAACCCATTCTATGTGTCATTTCAAATGTCAGGGATACTGCATTCTAAATTTATTTTGTTCCAGATTTCCCCCTTCCTTCTCGTCATTTATAATCAATATAATAATGAATGTAATTCTTGCATTTGATGAAATACCCTTCATGTCAGGATCTCTCAAAGTGCTTCACAGGATTTACTATGAAGTGTAGTGTCTGTGCATTGTGTAGGGAATTCACTTTACATTATATTCTGTGAAGCACTTTGAGGAGCCTCGAAGACATGATAAGGCGCTATATCAAACGCAAAGATTATTATTAGTATTAATGACTTATTTTATCTGAGGTATTGTTGGCCAGGAGACTGGGAAAAACCCCTTCTCTTTACGAATAGTGCCATGGGATATTCAGTATCTACCTGAACAGGCAGACATGATCTTAATTTATTGTCTCCTCTGAAGGACCACACCTCCAACAATGTAATGCTCCACTAGCACTGTGTCAGCCTAGACTGCGAGTTCAAAGTATCAACATAGCTTGAACCCACAAGCTTCTGACTCAGAGGCTAGAATGCTAATAACTGAGCCAGGCTGACACCTTTGCCACAAAGAATTTTATCCTTCGGGTGCTCTGGAGTTAACATGCGCAATTGGCTGCCGCGTTCGCCCACAAATATACAGTCAATTCACTTTACAGTATATTCTGTGAAGCGCTTTGGGACGTCCTCCCGACGTGAAAAGCGCTATATCAAATGCAAGGATTATTATTACTATTATTATTATTCTAAAAGAGAGCATTTGAGCAAACTGTCTCCAGTGAATAAATAACACAGTTGCTTAAGTACAGTTTGTTGATGAAAGATGCTTCAGCCTAGTGGTTGGTCCATATTCATTTATTAGATATTCTCTTTTTGACCTCTCGCATGTAAACATCCCAACTGCCGAAGTGTTAAAGAGATGTGTCACATAATTAGTATCATTAATGTGAATCAACAAGCTTCAGTGACACGGGGGATCAAAAGTCTCAAATAAATCAACTGTCTAATCGACAATTGTCAGCAACTGCCAATGACCAAAATGCTGTTACAGAGGTCATTTTAGATGATCCCCACCAGTGATAATCATAATAATAAATAATTAAGTCTGCTTAGACTATATCCACAAAGAACTGATGTGGGGCTTGAATCTACAACCCTTTGACTCAGAGTTGAGAGTACTCCTAACTGAGCCAGATTGACACAAGTTGTGGTGCCAAGAGGAAAATCCCGACTCATTTATTTAAATAAAAGTTGATTGTACTAAAATCCCAATCCTCCCAAACTGTCGGGAATCGTGTGATAATTTTCCCAAAAGGGAGAAAATGTCTCCCTCTTCCTTCTTTATTTCATACAGCTGGCAGCATATATAACTGGAATCAAGTCCTCAGAGGCACAATATTTCAGCAGAGTGTTTTAATGCCAATCAACAAGACTATAAACACTGAATTGGCACAGATGTGAAAGTGCGGGAGACATAGAGATACAGTGACTGAAAGATGACAAATCCAATACTAAAATTGGACATTAAACAATTTAATTTAAAATTTTTATTTAATTTAGAAAAAACATCTGGGAAGGTAGTTTTTCTTGTTCAAGACATGCTACAATTTATCAATTGGAAATCCATTCTACTTTGATCAATAGAGATGGCCTGCCATG